AAGAATTGCAACAACCTGGGTAAGTTCAAAGTACAAATGAAAACCATACAATGTTAGTAAATTGGAATGTGTATAATGGACTCGCAGGTTTAGATATACTGAAGATGTCGTTAGCTTGCTCGCAGCCCGAAATTTCGTTCTAAGGGAGTGGTCATTATTTATGGGGTGGTAGGGGGTGGATGATTTTGAGGAGGGGTTACAAAATTTTGAAAGTTTCTGAAGGAGGGATTATGTTGATTCTTGACTTGAAAAAGAGGGGTTACTAGAAAAATATAGTCTTAAAGCAGTTTTGATAAATAATTAAAAACAAAACAAAATAATTAATGCACAAACAAAATAATTGATACATAAACAAACTTAAAAATCGAAAAAATTACTACACTGTAGATAATGAATATGTTGTGTTATCACATTCCAAGCTGTAAAATAAACAACTTTAGTCTCAGCCCTTATATTAAATTTACAAAAATCCAGTGCGCCACAATAAAAATGTTGGTCTTATTTTTTTAAGTACCGAAGGTCAATAGAAGACTTTTTGTTTCAAGTTGAAATTGCAATGTTAAAACTCAACGTTTATTTTGTTTGTAATTTATGTTTATATTTGCTAAAACGATTTCCTTGAGGAAGGGTTGAAAAATTTTTTGAACGTATGAAGGAGGGGTTGTGAATTTCAACAATTGCTCAGGAGAGGGGTTATGGAAAATTTTAGCTTGTGCCTAAAAATCATCCATCCCCAACCACCCCATAAATGCTGGAGTGATAATTAACATAGTTACAGATGGTAGAAATCTGTTTATCCAGTGATTTCTTTAATGTGTTTTTTCGCCTTTTTATTCTATTTATTTTCATTTTATTTTGGAAATTGTTCGCATTGAAATCATAATTACAATACAGATACCCACTGATTCCCAGATACTTCTTCTTTCACCTCGGGTTCCGCTAGTCCACATTGCTGAACTTCCGTATTTGCCTGGTCTTCGAGTCATCGCCCTGAGAAGACCGATAATCCATTCCTGGACTTTGCTGTTCAGTTATATCTACTGCTACAATTAAATGAAATGAAATTTGCGTGTACCATAATCTAAACCACTCGCACTGAGTGCATGAGGCACCTTGCCACCTTGTCCTGCACACTTTACTCAATGCAGTCAACTAAACATTCAATTTCAATATCACAAAAATGCCTGTTCAGACATTTGATGCAAGGGAATTAATACTGTTGTCTGTCAAAGTAATTATGTAGTCAAATGCTAGATTGGTGGGGCAATGTGGAAAAAACGACTCCAAAACGTAATAATATGAATCAGCCGTATCACGTTTTGAAGTCGTTTTTTCCACGTTGCCCACCAATCTAGCATTTGACTCCATTTTATACTTAGGCCTAACAAATATAAAACATTTTCCGGGTTGATATACAGTTATATCAACACGAGAGGAATTTGGGAAAACGAGAAATTGTGTGGAAACACGACGCCCGAAGGGCGGAGTGTTTTCACACAATTTCGAGTATGTATATCAATACGGAAAAAATGTTTTATATTTCTTTTATAATATAGCACAAAGAAACATAAAGAAAGAAACTTTCCGACGTCTCCGTGTTGACATTGAGTTATATCAACATGGCTCTTAGCCAATCAGCGTTCAGAATTTACAAATGCTATATTATTATACTATGTATATATAGCTTAAGTTTTTGGTTTACGAAACACAAACGGTGCTCCGAATACCATATAGATAGAGCGTAATATAGTTTTTCGTTTTACCTCAAAAAACCACAACAGTCTGTTTCATCCGTATAGGAATCATCAGGTGGTCTGATGATTCCTATACGGATAAAATAGACTGTTGTGGTTTTTTGAGGTAAAACGAAAAACTATATTAAGTGTGATATATATATATATATATATATATATATATATATATATATATATATATATATATATATATATATATATATATATATATATAATTCAATTTATTTTGGTTGTCTAGATATATAAAGCGCTCAATACTAAAAGTATAGCAGAGCTTATTAGATTGTCTATATCTTAAAATTAAATAACGCTACTCTGAGTTTCACGTCCTAATTCATAATTAATTAATAATTAATTAATAATTAATTAATTCATAATTAATTCAAAAGATCCGATTTCTTCGCGTAATGTCGCTATCGCGAAAAATTCAGCGCCGGGAAATTCGAACGCGCGCGAACAAACAAGTTAACGCGTCAGCGAACGGTTGATGATGATGCAAACACGTAATCAGTAACAAAATCGTGAACAAAATCGCCTGATGATCGTCTAGAAAGGACGTGAAACTCAGAGTAGCGATATTTAATTTTAAGATATAGACAATCTATATATATATATATATATATATATATATATATATATATATATATATATATATATATATATATATATATATATATATATATATATATATATATATATATATATATATATATATATATATATATATATATATATTTATATATATATATATATGTACATATGTTTAATAGAGTTGAAGATTTGTAATCCAGGCATTTTATTAATTGAATAATTCTACAAATTATTTAGTTCTCTGGATTCTAATTTAAATGTTTTGAGCTTTCGACTCGCTACTTCGAGCCTTCATCAGAAAGTTGGAATGTTTGAATTTTCGCGCTGTTCTCGTTCTTGAAGCCTTTGCGAACGTCTGATTGGTTGATCACGGATTTCGGCTGATGGATTGTTATTGGTTGCCAT